TGTGATATTAAATCTTGCATGTTTTGATTTCGGGGAGAGAAAGTATCTGCATACCATAGATTGCATAGAACTTGAATACATATCCTTTACAGTTGTTTCAGAAAGGCTGATCCAAACAAAATCTATAGGTGCTGGATACTAACAGAAGGGTTGTGTGGTTAATATTTGTTTCCATAAAAACCTGAAAGCACTAATTCTCCATGTAGCTATACTTTCTGCATCCTTATATCTGTCTACTTGCTAAATGCTATGCATTTTGTAATAACTACAAACTTGCAGCTCTGTAGCCAGTTATGTGTGAATAACTTATATTGATTTCCATGGGATACAGTCCCTGCAGGAACAGCTGAAAGAGAGCTGCCGGCCTTTTCACCTAAACTGGCAAAAGAAATGTTTACAATTAAATGTAGTTGTTATTTTGGCAAAAGATTTTAGGTTTCCCCTCGAAATGATGCAAATGTTTTCCCTAATAACAGTTATTCTCTGGGTGTTACTTCAGGTAAAGTCATTGACGGAAGATTGTTCAAACAAAAAAACGTCGATTGATTCACTAAAGCAAAGGCTTAATGTAGCTACAAAAGAAAAGGCACAGTATGAGCAGATGAATCGCAAAGCTAAGGAGGAGCTAGAGAAAAAGGTACATGGTTACAGATTGTTTTGGTTTAAACACAGAATATTTAATTTCTACCTAACCTTTTCATGTACAGTGTTTATTACCAAAAGGAAAAGAGTGGTGAGGTCAGCAACTCTGCATTTTCACTCTACCCATCGCAGTATCTCTGTGGTTTTTATTCTCTTGGACTTGGAGCCTTTACAAGATACGAATGTAATGGCAAAATGCATATTTGAAAATGAATTAAATGAATCACAGTATGATGTTCTGTGATATTAGCCTAGGTAATGAAATTCAATATGCCCGTTTGTAGCACCCTAAAATGGGTTCAGCGGAGCTGCTTTTTTTCTGTGCAATTCAAGAAGCAAGGACTGAAACTTCTGGTTGGGGCAGTCAGGGAATATGTGAACATGCTCCTGTGGTGCCCACCATCATTATCCTTAGGTCAGGGATGAGAAACCTGTAGGGTCTGGTGTGGGGGGCACTGCTGCTCTCCTGGCTCCCAAACACAGCGTGAGCACAATCTGGCGCTGTTCAGGGCCACAGTGGCATTAGTGGCAGATGGCTTCCCTAGCACCACACAGGGCCAAGGTCCCCATGCCCCCCCACCCACCCTGGAGAGCACCAACGACATGCAATGTTTGGAAGCTGGGGGAGAAGTGGACTCATCAGGAATTACAGCAGTCCAACAACATATGAAGGCCCATAGGTTCCCCATCCCTGCTCTATGTAGAAAGCATATCTTTGGCTCTCCATTGGTTTTCTATTCATGTTGTTCTTTTAGCTTAGGTAGAGACAGAGGTTTTAAGTGTTGTTCCTGTTCTCACCTTAAAGGTAAAGGGACCCCTGACCATTAGGTCCAGTCATGGCCGACTCTGGGGTTGCGGCGCTCATCTCGCTTTACTGGCTGAGGGAGCCGGCGTACAGCTTCCAGGTCATGTGGCCAGCATGACTAAGCCGCTTCTGGCGAACCAGAGCATCACACGGAAATGCCGTTTACCTTCCCGCCGGAGCGGTACCCATTTATCTACTTGCACTTTGAGGAACTTGCACGCTTTTGAACTGCTAGGTTGGCAGGAGCAGGGACCGAGCAACGGGAGCTCACCCTGTCGCGGGGATTTGAACCGCCAACCTTCTGATCAGCAAGTCCTAGGCTCTGTGGTTTAACCCACAGCGCCACCCGCGTCCCACCTTACTTATTACCTGTTACCTAGTTGGGCTGGCCCAAGGCGTTTTGGCACCTGTGGCGAACCACACAATGGCACTCCCCCACCAGGGGAGAACGGGTAAGGGAAGATGTATATCAGGAACGGGGGCGGGGGGCGGGAAATAACATTCTACATCGGGAGCAAGGATGTGAGGAGCAAAAGGTCGTTGCAGAGGTGGCATTGGGTGGGGCTTAAGAAGTCCACAGACCCAGCCTCCAAGGAGTGGTAGCAGCAGCAGCAGGGGGCAATGTATTCCAGATCTGCTGCCTCTGTGGATCTTGCTGCCTCACCTTGCCTTATGGGTTGGTACCTAGGAAAAGGGGGAAAGAAAGATGGAATGAAGGCCATGTATGAACTCAAAGCTTACTCTTGCCTCCTACTGGGTCAAAAACCCTACATTCGTATTATGGGCAGGACGTACCATGAGCCCATATTAGGACAGCGATGGCTTCATTGAGCCCAAGGCACTCGGTGGTAGAAAATCCACAACTGTGTGATACAGTCCAAAGGAAACAGCACTTAGGTTTAAGCCAGGTACGACACCCCAATACATAGATCCTTTCTCTGAGTTTGTTTGACCCCAAACAGCTGAGGAAGAATGGTGGGGACATGGGAGAGGGTAGCAGGCTGCTCCGTTGGGAGAGAGTAATGTACAAAATCGTTGTAACCTAAGGCAAATCAAGCAAAGGTTCCTTTATAGATATATGACACTGGAAGAAGACAGCAATGAACATGGTAAAGGAAGCTGAATACAGTTTTTAACTTATGTTCTTGTTCTTGCTCTAGCTTCTAACTGTGCAGTATCCCAACTCCTCATGAAATCAGACAAGAACTAAGAATATCCCCACTCTAAGGGTGAAGGAACCAAGTTGTGGTCCCTACAGTGAATCTTCCTAGAAAGGGGACACAATGGACTTTGTGGACTCACTATGTATCCACAAAACTCGCAATCCCTCTCATGGCTTGATTGACTCACCTTAGGGTATTTTGCTCTTGAGTGAAAAGTATACCAGTATCATTTTCATGTGGCTTTATTTCAGGAGCTTAAACTCGCCAATCTGGAAGCTAAAATGGCTGAGGCGGAATGTGTCATGACAGAACTCGAAACCACTGCCTCTCAGCAACTTCATGGCTTGGCAAAGCAAAGTGAACAGGCACTCGAAGTACTGCAGAAAAAATTGATGATGTCCAATGACAAGGTGGAAGAGTTCGTTACCTTTGTGAAGGTTCGGTATTTTAAAAATTTGTCTTTTGGTTTAGTGACATGCCTTAGGTCAGCTTTCCCCAACCTAGTGCCCTCCAGATGTGCCCGCCAGTGCTTAGGGATGGCAGAAGTACTATTCCAACATCTGGAGGGCACTGGGTTGGGGAAGGCTGACCTACATCATACTAATTTAATGCAAATATTCCTGTGGACTCCAGACTTTAGGGTTTTCCTATTGTCCTTCTAGCAGAAGGTGAGATGGGCCAATGGTGACATCTCTGCCTCTGCACTTGGGGCATCCACTGTTGCCAAAATGAAGTTTTCTTCTGGCTCAGCATATCCCCAGCATCCAGATCAAGACCCCCCCAACCCCTGGGACCCTCTCTCAGATTGGTTTCCAGACTGCCATCCCACTCCTCTTCCCCCTATATATGTATATATTAAAAAACCACCTCTCCTCTTGTGAACAAAAGATGGACAAAGCTGTTGTTTCATAAGCTTTGATGAGTGACTGTCCAATTTCTCCTGAGTACAAAGTGATGCCCAGACAGCAAAACCAGACAGGAAATCTGTGAACAGGATGTCCACCAAATTTTATTTTGTTAATTAGCAGCCCTATTAAGGGAGGTGTGTGTATGAAGGTTGGTGGGAGGGCTTGATTTGGAAGGTGTTGTTTAATCCTTTTCTCCCAGGCAGTTTCTCCAAGGTAAATTGCTTACTGCTAAAAAGCGGTTGTTAGCTGAGCTGTGCAGGGCAGAAAAAGGCATGTGCAGATGCTGTCCCCCCTCCCCCGCAGAACTAATAGCAACAGCAGTCTCTATGAAGGTGGGTTACAGTAAAGTGAGATAAATGTCATAGGGCTTCTTTTGCTCTGACTTAACCTGTTATGAATCTGGAATAGAACATCCTGTTTTCTCTATCAACATTTTAAATTTAATTTAATAGACCTTTCCAAATAAATGCCATCTCCAAAATATCATAGTTATGTATCCTCCCTCTGTTGAATAGAAGATCACTGCCAAGTTGTCAAGAGCAAAGGTAGCTAAAAAGAAATTGCCAGCAGGAGTGAAATTAATAAAGACTAAATGAAATTAACTTGCTTGCTGACAACCTAACAAGCTAATTACTACTTTGGATAGTCAGTAATAAACACAGTCAAGCACACAGCACCTAAAAACAGCTGAGTAGCTTTCAGAGGAAGAAGAGGAAGCACGCTATCTCAAAAGATGTGTCGCTGCATGTATTAAAATGGTCAGGGCACAGTTCTTGTCTGCTAAGCACACCTAGAACTGATGGATTTCATCGGAACTTAAGCACATTTTGCTGTGTTTTGGACTGCGACTGCACAAAATGCAACGGAATGAGCTGCATTTTGTGACAGGACTTTCCTAGCTGAGCACAATTTGTGAGAAGTAGACCAAACAAGATCAGGGGAGCATTGCTCCAAAGTTATCATGTCAGAGAAAACACTAATTTTGAAAGTCAAGGACCTCACCACATGCATATATTGATCCCTTCAAACTGAACACACAGAAATCAACTCCAAGGTCCTGCTCTACATAATAAAATGGTTAGGGAGCCTGCTTGAAACAGCATCCCCAGGTCACCTTTCCCATACTGCATCTTGCCCCATGGAATCTTCCCCGTAGTATTTTGTATTATCCACTATGTATGTTTAGGAATGTACCAGTGCCAGAATATTTGTTACTCCTCAACACTGCTTTCTAGTTTTGCATACTTCTCACAATCTGTACTTTTGGGCATATCATTTCACTCGGAACTATCTGAATACATTTTTAACACGACACTCATGCATAAACATACCTGCCAACTTAGTATAACAATGCATGCAGCTGGTGAACTGGATTTCACCTGTAGTGCCCGGAAGCTTGCAACCATGATACAGGTGTTTAATCTTTAAGGGGCCACAAGACTCATTGCTTTTCACATTGCTCTTCTACATTGTATGGATATCTCCTGAGTGATAACTCAGTTGGTAGATAATGAGACTCTTAATCTCAAGGCTGTGGGTTCGAACCCCACACTGGGCGAAAGATTCCTGCATTACAGGGGGTTGGACTAGATGATCCCCGTGGTCCCTTCCAACTCATATGATTCTGTGATCTTCCAGGCCAGTGCCAGCTGCAAGTAGTCATGTGCAGCACTGGTGCAGATCCTCTCTACACTATTCAGATACTGAGCTCTGCTGCATGTTACTTTACCAGTATAGAGAATGTTGTAGCATAGGGTTACCATATTGAAATGCCAATTGAAATGGCGAAATTTGCATCTGGAGGGAAAAAGCTCAACAACCTTTGTGTCTGGATTTTTACTTCTTGAAATATGGAACCCTATTGTAGCATAGAATGCTCTTGTTCAAGGTTCTAGCCTTGCACAACCCTTTCCCCAGGGTTGTTCTATTACAGACAAGGCTTGCATCTCTCTCCCAATCTTGGCAAAAAAAATTAATACCCAGTCAGCATTCCATACCTACCAAGCCTGCTGAATCCTAACTAAGCTGTTTTTGTGCCTTTTCATCCTTTCGTTTCCCCTCGCTTCCTACAGATTTTTAAAAATTTTATTTCTGCAGATGTGTTCCTGCCTTCCATTTGTGTAGTGTCATTCTGCCTACATACAAATCCACCCTCATAGAATGAGTTTTCTATTAGTATATAGCAGGGGTAGGCAAAGGGTCGATTGGGATCTACTGGGAGATCTTCAGGTGATTTGAGGTTGATCATCTGGGATTTCTGGCTCCCATTTGTTTAACAATGGCAACATGTCAAATGACTTCCCAATGCCTTAGATTTTACTCTTGAAATGCTGTTATATGGTTACATCATTACATGGTTAACCGTTGCAAGGAATCAGTGGCTTCACACATTTTTGTCTTTTGTGAGGACTGCCTTTTTCTACATATTTGTGCTGTGACAATCTTAAAACGTACACAGTTACAAACCTCATAATAAACAAAACCCAGGTCAATATGCATTTGATAGAATAATTTTGTTGAAAACTGTTAATCTATTGTGCCTGGTAGATAAATTGCAAGAAAACAAAGATGTGGTCTGGAAATCAGATATTGATGATGAGCAGAGCAGCCATTATTGACTTGAATTCACCTAGTTGCTAAATATTTATGCAAGGAGAGTCCTCTGAAACCCATTTTTAAGCACAGTGTGTTACTGAAAAATAACAGCTGAGATTCTTCCTCGGGTATCTGTAGCACTATATACTGCACATAAAAACTACTTCTTAAACATTTCCCACTAAAACCACACATAGGGAAATTAAGTTAGCACAATGAGGCAGTACCTGTACCCCTCCCCCTGGCACCACCTCCTTCTTTGAAGTATACTCTGTGCCATCTCTACCCTCTCCCTCTAGGAAACTGCCAATTTTTCTTCTATTCTCGCCCTGCTCTTCCCTTTTCCACTTTGATATGTCTCTCCCTCCTGTATCGGCCCTTATTATGAGACGGCTGTATCTTCAAGTGAATGACAGAGACCCTTTTCACACATTCTGCATTTGAAGTGTACACCAGGCGTACGAACGTACCTTGGCTTTTGACCTTCAGCACTGTAAGGGCTGCATCAGTACAAAACACGGTACCATTTCTTGGTTTGATCGTAATTTGCATTATGCCTTTACTTTGCATTATAGATCTTGCTCACTGTAGACACTGCTGCCCTTTTCTCTGCTACAACGCGCTCAGTTCAGCCGCCCGTCACCCCAGTCCTACAGATAAGAGTATGTGTCCCCAGGTTATTGGCCAAGCAGCTGTCCATATTGCTTTCACCTTTTCTCTCTCTTCATTTGAGTGATCTGATCCATTTGTTCACGGTACTGTCAACCCCCAAAGCCTTCAGCCTTGAGTTACTTTCAGCCATCATATTTATCTACAGGAAACTTGGATTCTTGTCAGCTATGTCTGCACCAGTAGATACATTTGGGAGATTTTGAACTTGAGGGGGAATACCGGAGAATATGGAATGTGTGAAAGGCTTTCTTTAAAAAATGAAAACTTGTTTGATAGTAATTTCAATCAAATATCTCCTTTAAGGATGTGGGATGTTTTCATCTACATGTTCATATCAGTTTTGGTATTTATAATAGAAGTTTAATGTAACATATTTATATTGTATGATTGGTGGAAATAAAGCAGCTTTTGTAATGTTTTACAAGTGGAGGGCTTCGTATTGGTATTTGATATCAGCAGATACTGCAGAAATGCCCCAAATACTCGACCATTTAATTAACAAGCTGAATTTTTCATACTTTATAGCTCTTGATTTAATTATTGCTCTGGGACTACATTCATGCAATCTAAAATATGTCTACTCAGAGTAAGCTCCACTGGGGTCAGTGGGACCTATTTCCAGGAAAAATGTTTAGGATCAGAGCCCTAGGACTATGTGAGTAATACACTGGTTAAATAGGATGTAGCCTGATGATAACTAAGATTTCCTGGCTTCTCTACTGTGTCTGGAAAGATGTTATAATACAATTTTGGTTAGAAGCACCATTCCTTGTATAAGGCTTTTGGTCGCAGGAAACAAGCTTAATGTTGGAGCAGCTTGAAAGCAAAGACTGAAATTTTTGGTCCATTTTAGCTCAATCTTACAGTTGTAATTTTAGTTCAGATTTGGAAAAAATTCCAGTATGATGCATTTGCACCATTGTCGCCAGGCAGTGAGTTTGCCAGTCTGTGGACATCCATAATATGTGTGATAACAAAATAAATCAGAATAGTTTTTAATTTAAACACTTTCATATGTGCTAGAACAGCCTTCCCCACACTGCTGTCCGTGGTGCTATAGTTCAAACATGCAAAGGTCACAGGCTGGCTTCTTTAGAAGACGACCACAAGTGGCTCATGGGAGCATTTTCATGACGCCTCTGGAAAATCTTGATGTATATGATTTGCTGACTATTTTCTATTCACCAGGCTTCCGTTTGGTGGCAGGTCAGGCGCCGATGCTTGTATTAAGAAACAGCCACAGTTGATGGTTCTGAGAAGAAATTGGTGATTAAATTAATTCTCCATCAGGATTACTCTTCAGATGGGATTTAGGCAAATTGAATCAGAAGCCTGGATGGTGACAGTGAATATCTATTAGAGTGCAAGGGGAAAATAATAGGCTATCTGGATTTTAATGAATGAAGTGAATATCTGAATTCTCGCTGTTTTGCGTTAGCATATGGTAAGAAATACGTACAGTACACCAGGAGCTATAATGTAGATGCTGGACAGACTCTGTATCGCTCCAGATGAAAAATTGAAAACTTCTGCTGTGCTGGAAATTAGGCTCCATTTATGATTTGGACACAGATAGCACATTTCCTTGGGGGTTTCAATATTACAGTATACAAACTGTGTCTGGATACTACTGTATTTATAATCTTTGAAAATCTTTCAGCCTGTGTTGAAATTTAGAATATATATATATAGTGCAGCCAAATGGCAGTGGGCAGCATCTTTCCAGCAGCTGCTCATATAATTCTGAAAAGGCAAGTGTCTATAGACCTGATTCACATAACTAATATAGAAGCACATTTCATTTTAAAGAGTTGCTGCAGTATAGCAACGTAGTGTGCTGATCCAGAGCTGGTATAGGGAAACTATTTGCTCTGGCTCTTGAAATGCCTTTTGGGTACAATCACATAGTTATTTCTATACAGTATATGATAGATGTTCAAGATTGTTTTGGCAAGAGGGCATAGAACCTGCATGGTACGTGCAACCAATTTTGTTTTGGCAAAAGAAAATATGGAAATCTCTTCAAGGCGATGCTTTTTTCTGCTGATTGTGAAGACAGAGACTGCTATACTGTGAAGTTCAGGTCTACTAAATCACCACCATATCTAAATATTGATAACAAAAATGAGAGTATTTTCTTGCTAAGAAGAAGAAAGCTTCCTAATATTAAGTCAACCCATTGGTCCATCTAGCTTGGTATTATCAATCTTCAACACCAGCCAGTGTCCAATGTTCAGACATGATGTGTCAAGGGGCTGTCAGGAAAATGCAGGTCATCCGCAGGTCAGGAAAATGACTGGGCAGGGGGGACGTATGATACTGGACCCATAACCTAAAGGGGGATCCCCATAAGTGGTCTTGAGAGGGGCATCACAAGGCACTGGCCCAAACTCAGGATTTTGAAATTTTCTTATGGGTCAACATGGCTACCTTTAATTTTTGAATCTTTTCTTTTTCTGGCTCTCAGGGATGACAAAACATACCAGGGCCTTTTCAGCACTGGCCCCGACTGGGTGGAACACTCTGTCACAAGAAACCAGGGCCCTGCGGGATTTGACATCTTTCCACAGGGCCTGCAAGACGGAGCTGTTCCACCTGGCCTTCGGCTTAGATTCACTCTGACCCCTTATATGGGATTTGGCATATAAATTTTCCCTTGGCTTTTTTGCTGGCCCATGTAGGACCAGCATGGATAGCTGGTTCTGGTGAATATCTGATGTTTCCTCCCTTTATGGTCTTGATTTATGGGCTACTACTAAAATGAGGCTGCATTTTGAGCTGCATTTTAAGCCGTATTTTAATCAACTTTTTTCTATTACATTTTATTGTAATTTATATTTGGTGTTAACCGCCCTGAGCCCAGCCCTGGCCGGGGAGGGCAGGGTTTAAATAATAATAAAAATTATTTATTTATTTATTATCATCACATATTTTTGTTGAGTCCTTAATTTTATGTCTTACTAAGATCGCAAAACCTTTGCCATTCAACTGTAACCTTGCGGGGGATAGTATACTAGCTATACAAATACTCTGCTGCTTGCGGTACCAACAGTTTTAATGCTGTTCTCCAAGCACTGAACAAGACTAGTGGTTCTTAATTTATTATTTGCCAGTAGATCAAAGCTCAGACTGACAAAGCTGAACAAAAATGTTAGCGGACTTTAGCTAATGCTCAAAATGTATTTTCTGAGAGAATATCAAATAAGGTCAGTAAAAGTGTGACCTTTATTTCTAGGTTTTTGAGGACATTTAAGATTCCTGGGAGATGAAATGCTTTAAGGAAAGTTTCAT